ACAGTTTACGGTCAAATTTTGTATTTTGAATTTTATGCAAAAGTCATTATCTAGATCTACGTAGAAATAGTTTATTTTGGAGAATCTGGACGACTTCTCTGCTTAATTTTGACTTTTGAAGAAGCATTTTTCAGAATTATGCCCGAATTTCTTACAGATCTCACAGGGTTTCGCAATACTTGGCAGATTATTTGAGCTTCTCGCCTTATTAGTATTATCGTATTTGAATAATTTAAGCGATTTAAAACAATTCCGGCTGATATGACCAGGTTGTTTACAGGAATAACATATTTTTCCCTCATCATTATGTTTAAACGGATTCGGGCGTTTTGGCGCCCCTACTTGAAGCTGAGTCTTGTTTATTAATTTGATAGTTGCTAAGCAAGTTAAGTAAGGTCGAAATGGAATCAACTCTACTATTAAAAGCAGCTGTTTTGACATGTGTGTCCGTTATATCACCAATAACTATCTCAACTATTTGACTATCACTCAAATTAAAATCTAGAGAGTTTAACAAAGATATTTTTTTCCTTGCGTACTCACAATATCCCGTGGCTTGGTCACTTCTGTACATACTAGCTTTACGTAACCGCTCACTAAGATTCCTCTTCGCAGGATAAAGCTGACAAAGCTCGGCCCGGAAACTAGCCCAAACTTTATTTGATGGGTGCCAGTTGTCATACCAATCCTTTGCGTCGCCTTCCAGGGCACCCGCGGCTCTGCAAAGCTGTTCAAAATCAGTCCCCGCATCGCTTTTTGAGGGATCGAAAGCTGGAATGTTAATTGGCGCAGAGGGTGCTGGCACCACCGGCGCCGCTGCGGCTTGTTGGGGTTGCTGCTGAATTCCTCGAAGAACTGCAGTTAAAACACTGGTTAATTCCTCCATTTCGACAGACTTTTAGCACTTAAGTATCACTGCCAAAAGTAACGCTCACTAGGTATATACGCTCAGGACAATGAATTGCTCACGCACGCACACTCGAAATAAATCAGGTTGCACTATGTATTTCTTCTGTGGTCCTTTTAGCGAGTTGAATCCCACTTCTGATGTGCGAAAATTATCATTTTCTTAGGGAAAATCAAACACTTCATAACTTGTATCACATGTATTCACTCCAGCATCTGTTACAAGACTGACTATGACTAACCACCTTGCCCACAAAAACACATCGCAGCACATCGGAATATTCACGGTCGCCAGAAGTAAACAAAACATATTCAATAGACAAAACATATTCAATAGACAAAACATATTCGATGGCGTAGCGTAGCGATTCAGCGAAAGGCTCACATACACATTCAATTGCGTTTCTCAAAGAACCGGCACTCCATTTAGCTGTCTCTTCATTTTTCCTTTTATAAGTCGTGGGCATTTTTGTTAATCTGTAACAATATTATTTTACAATAAATTTATTTATTCAAATTGAGCTTTATTGTATCACTAATATCTTTCAGACCGCCGAATATTTCATTAATATTATTATTATTTCCATGGTCGGTCTCTCCCGGATTGATGTGGTCGTACTCTATCAAAGTTACGGGAGAGATCGACCACCTTGTTAACCGAAGGAAAAATGATAAATGCCTACATTTTTGGGGTTATGTTATAATTTGATGCATATTTTATCATCCAGTATTGAAACAGTTCAATTAAACTTACCCGTCTTTAAAATATCACGAACACAGTAAATCAGTCAAAAAATTGTCAAGTTTGCACAAATTTTTAAATTTAATTTGTACATTTATACTACTGTTACGGGGCGTGTTTACGTGTTCCATGTAACAAGGTCAACTAATCGCATCATACATGTGAGTCACGGATTCATCTATTGCTTTGTGGTTAAGTTACCGGCAGTGGTCGGTCTCTCCTGGTGGTCGAGCTCTACCGGAATTACCCTAATATTAAACTAATTCGCCAAAAAATTGCAAACCATATACCTGTTTTATTAAAAGGTTAATGATCAAGTTTGCTGATGGATTCAAAAGTCCCGGAACGGTTTTGTATTTTCTGGGGTAAGGTATTTTTGGAAAAAATCAATTTAAGGTCTTCAGTAGCTTTCAGCAATGAATTCAACGGTGACCTTGAATTAGATCTTGACCTCCACTTTCAATGCTAATTTACGATCATCCTTATGTTTTTAAGTAGAAGCCCCTATTTTTGAGGCCGGCAATCGAAAGAACAGAACGTTTTACGTTCAAACACAACTAAAGTACACTACTAAAGGTCTAATGAAGATCAAATGTATGCGGCCCGGAAAACGTCTATAAATCTCACAGGATTAGTGATGAAAACAACTATCAAGGTGAGGTATGTAGTAAATTTGGAGAGTGATCTTGAATTTGCCTTTGAACTTCGCGTTCAAGGTCATTTGTTTTTCGTATAGAAACCCGCAGTAGCTCCCTCGTTAAAACTTACCCAAAGATCTGACCTTGCCACTTATTTTTATCACTATTCATGTGAGATTTATAGAAGCTTCTCTAGCAGCACACATTGGCTTTTGTAACCTCTAGTAGTCACCTAGAGCTTGAATTTTAATACTTACTCGAATGTCAAGTTTCTGCCTCTTCCGATTTCCGGCATCAAACATAGTTTCCATTCAAACAATTAGGTTGACCTAGGGTAAGTTTTAGTAAGGGGCTTTGTTTTCATGATAGGCTGCCAAACATTCTTGTAAATTAGTTTTTTCGTAAAGATACAACCGTCAAGCCGATTTTGTTAAAATTTGTTGATCTGACATATTGCCGAGAATTAAAATAAAATCGAATAAGGAAAATGTACCAATAAAACCAAAATTACCAAAGGAATAATTGAAAAGCTGAAATCCGGTGACCCATATCACACTTCGTTGGTGTGTTTTTCTTTGATGATTTAATTTCAATTTTTCAAGCTTCTACAAAGTATTCGGATACGAAACCGGGAGATTCAGCTATATTTATTTAAACATTATTTAAATACGCATAGCTAATGGAGGCGTATAAAAATACGTGTTTTACAATAAGATGTCAAAGCATAAATAGAGCATAAAAAATAACGCCACAAGGTTCTATAAAAAACGCCCCATGGAACTACATGCCCTCTCTCAGGTAAGTTTTGAACGACACCGCGTGATTTTACAAAATTTTGACAGCTTACTTAGGTGCTCAGATGGAAAACAGTTAACTCATTTGAATCGCCAGGGAGATTTTTACATAATAGCCGTGCTGTAGTTTAAGATGAAAATATCCTATTCTGCAGTGCTACTACGGGTAGTGGGGTTATACATGTGGTTGTTGATTTAGAATAATATCTATTACAAAGCAATAAGCAAATTATAATAGACGCAAGCGTAATAACTACTATACATAGGTACGTGTACCCAATATCATTAAAAAATAATAGGCAAATTCTATATGAACAAAAATAACATTCTTGTTTGCTTTAGAGCCGTTTTGAGAGATATAATTATGGGGACCAAAACTACTCCTATCGATTTACTGTGCAGCCGATCCGTAAAACCTTCTATAAAAATCTAATACTTCATTAACTGATTTGGAAATTTACATCCTGGGTTTCTTTGGTCGCTGATGATACGATTATTTCCCAATGTCACGTGCCAAAATGACGTAAACTTTTTTTTACTATTTTGATCACTTACCACTAATTTCAATTTCTTTTTATTAATGGTAGAGTGCCCTTTTTAATGGTTTTCTTTGGCAAATATCATAGTCTATTGATTGTATAATTTCACACGTATCATATCTTTCTTTCTTAGCGACTCAATATTTGGTTGAAATCTTTTGTACACTAATGTAGTAGTATTTTATTAACGATTGTCTCAGAAATTTCCTCATAAAATATCGTTGGCCCCTCGTAGAGTTGGTTCCGTCCATTGGCCACCAGCGCCACCTTGTGATTTCTGTACGTACTAGCCAGATAGGAGTATTTGGTTTCCTATCAAGATACCTTCTTATAAAAACCTGTATTGGAATATTTGGTTTGCAATCAGGATAGCTTCTTTTAAAAACTTACGTGTACAGACGGGTCCCGCGCGATTCTTCTTTTCTTCTTGGCTCCTGAGGTGTTGTGTGTGACCGTCGTTTCGTTAACTTCCAGATTCTGGGATATTACGCTCCAAACACCGGGTAGTACCCTTTTATTTTGTACCTTACGTTTCGTTGTTTTGGTTTGGGTGCTACCCCGTCCAATTTATTATGGGATTTTAACCATCAGCGGTAAGTTCTTTTTTATATAACATCGGAGTACGAGCATTATTGCATGTTCTGAAGAATTTAGTTCAATATCTGCTTCCTTTTAGTGGGATGGCATTGCGGAGAACCACCATTCACACTCCTCCGGGTTTGTTTTGTAGCTGCCTTGTAGCTGTTTCGCAGCTGATTTTTCTGGAAGCCACCCCTTCCCTTTGACAAAAAACCCTGATGCGAACAGGTAAAATATCATTTTAATTGGGTATTTCATAGATATTGATATATTAAATATTGCTGACTGAAATTCATAGAGTGTTCTTGATTTTGTTTGGAATTTCACGTATTCAAATATAGGGAAGTGCCTACATGGCACCTTCTATTGGGGATTACATTACGTTGATCATGATTTTGTTTTCTGAGTTGCCACAACTTTATGTTAGAACAAGGGATAACTTTCTGAGGGTATATTACATTAGTACATTTTTATCTTATCTTGCCTTTGCTTCTTTGCTTCACATTTTTGTAAAAGATAATGTACATGGTTTTTTTCTTCAAGTTTTAGTGTTTTCAATGAGTAGTTCTGTCTCAAACAGAGAATAGAGAGTAGAGTTTTAAGCAGGCTTTCTCCCTCTAGGGTTTTTTTGTACCGTAAATTTGGGAACCAGGCAAGCAGCCCCTACCATAAGACGCTCTTCACGCCACTGCCCGCTGCTGGTCATTGATTTTTGACCTGAGCGTTTGTGTGCTGAGAATATTTCGGCCGCGCCTAGAGTCATAACTGTGAAGAGGTTCGGCAACAGCGCGACCAGGTGTGAGTGCGTGTCATGCTGGGGCTACATTAGCGGGCTAAGGCGAATATTCGGGCTACGGCGATGTGTGTGGCCGGGTTCATCGTTACAACGCGGTGTATTCGGGCGAAGACGATGTAACATCGGGTCGCTGTCGGTAAACTAGCACGCATGAAAGGGACTTATCGCGACAATATTCGCATGTCTGGCTACACCTGCGTTACTTCAGGGTCGTCCAGACTTTGAAGCGAGACGGACGTGCGTGTGTTTTGCAGAGATAACATATATTTGGCCTAGGTGTTTTGTACACTGTACGATGGAGTGGAATAACGAAAAAGTGTTGGAGTTCATTCAGTTTTATGAAACAGAAAATATTATATGGAATCCTAGTAACCCAGACCACAAAAAGAAGCATTTGGTACATGATGCGTGGACGAGAATTCAAAATAGGCTCAGTTGGCCTACCACAATAGAAGAAATGAAGAGGAAAAAAGATTCTTTGATGTCGTACTACAGAGCTCATCTCAATAAAATAAAGAAATCAATGAGGTCAGGCGCTGGCACCGACGACATATATCAAACAAATTGGTTCGCCTTTTCGTCTATGAACAGTTTTCTTCAGCCAATATATGATTGTCGCCGGACTATCGATACACAGGTAAATAATGAAACACGCCTATTTATTATATCTTATATTTATTCACATTCCACAGTGTGACTTCACAAAAATAAAAACATACTTTTAGTCTAAGCAACATGTAGCTTTTTGGGTGAAATCTGAGTATAGTCTCCGAAAATTACGATGAAGGTGTCATTTGATTCGGAAAAATATGTAGAAAGTTTAAGAAAAAATTCGAAAAGGCACTGATAAAAAGTGCAAAAGTTATAAACAATGTAGAAACAAACAAAATGGGAGTTTTGCTTTTTTTGTTGCTTAGACTATTTTTATTGACTGAAAAAATATTGAGCGAACTGGTCCCTGATCTGTGTAGGTAAAAGACCGCTCCGTCTAGCTACCGCTGGAAAAGGGCGCAACGCAGTTTCTTCTTGTTGCTCATTTCTCCATGTACCTGGAACTACTTGTCCATTTGTAATAGTGTCCGCAAAACCTGGTGGTATATATATATATTATTTGAAGATGAACTGTTTCTTAAGAAGTGTGTAGTAATATACAAGACATTACAACATTAGAGGCGCGATCTGGTTGGAGTGCAATCGGCTTCCTAAGTACGCGGAATACCGCAGACATAATTCCAAACACATTTTCTACAACTATACGGGCTTTTGACAGTTGCGTGTTAAATTTTCTTTTAATACTGCCTTCTGGATGATCTCCAGGGTATGGCTTCATGATGTGTGTTTGTAACGGGAACGCGTTGTCCGCTACAAATACAAACGGCATGATGAAATCAGTACCGGGAAGCACCGAAGGAGCTGGTATCTTTAGAGCATTTCTTTCTAATCTTTCGAATAATGCGGTATTTCTAAACACTCTACCATCACTAATTCGCCCTTGGCAACCAACATCTGCATACAGAAACCGATATTTCTTATCTACCAAAGCCATGAGGACAATGCTAAATGTATGTTTATAATTATAAAATTCAGTTCCACTGTGAATGGGTGATAAAATTTGCACGTGTTTTCCATCAATGCTTCCAATACAATGTGGAAAGATATCATGGAACTCAGTTTCTTTTTGTAGCCATTCTTCTTCGTTTGAAGGCATCTGAAACAAATTTTATTATTATTTCAGAATGAAAGTGTACGGGAAGAGCATGCAGAACGTGACGATGAACATGAAGGGATTACAGTTAGTCGTAGTGAAGAAGACTCAACTCCAACTCCTCCGATTAATTCAAACATAACAAATAAGCGAGCGAAAATTGATTTTCCTTCAGAAATATTACATGCAAAGAGACAAATGCAAGAGGCATTTGAGCACGTGAAAGGCAGTGTCAACGACGAATATGAAATGTTTGGGAAACTGATTGCTGCTAAAATAAGAAAACTTAAAAACCCAAATACCAGAGACATTCTTATGAATGATATCCATAGCATGGTTATAAACGCAGGCATGATAGATCGGGTTCACCCAACTCATCCATATCGCTCCCAAATCCATTCATCGTTACATCAGAATCAAACCTACCGGTCCCCGACTCATCCATCACCATCTTAGTTACCAAAGAACCACACATATCACTCTTCAAATCAATCATCACCATCTCCATCACCACCGACCCAAACGTACCAGTCTCCGATCCATCCATCGCCATCGCAGAACCAAACCATGCTATCTCAGAAAACATCACAATTCGTTATATCGGAGACTGGTGATATAGTATTCATATGAAAATGTAGTAGTTTTGTAGTTTTTTTTATGGATGGTATACGTTTTTTTTAATAGGAATGAGAATAGAAAAATGTTTATTTTGTTATTAATAATCGAAAAGAAAAACTCCATAAAGGTACATGTTGCTTAGACTATAGGCACTTAGTGAAATAAACTGAACTATGAGTAAAATATTGTATTTTTCTTACCATAACTTCGTCTTGCAAAACGATCAAAATACTTGCACACACTTCATGTACTATTTTGGAAATGAGTTGATGAGATATTTTGAAAAGATAATGAAGGCTTCGAAAATCATCTCCTGTCGCCAGATAACGTAGTGTTATTGCCAATCGCACTTTTGCAGGAATTGCTTTTCTGAATTTTGTATCTTTTTTGGTGATTAGTGGTGCGAGCTTTTGTAGTAGTATTTCAAAGTCAGATGTCGACATACGTAAAAATCCAGGGAATTCTATACCGGACTCTGCGGTTAGCTCAGATAACAAACGTTCCATTCCTGTTCTGTAAATAAGAAAAAAATGTAAAAATTATTATTATGTACTCACACCACTTAAGGTCTAATGCAGAAAAAGGCAAAATAGAAACATTATATCAAGTATTATTTTAGCGTGACGTGTTGTAAAAATTGTGCTGCACACTTACATCGTTCGGTTTCTATGAATAGTAGTCATCCACCATCTCCTCCTTCTTCTCTTATTCATATTACTTTGTACCTGATACCCGTACAAGTGTAATAAATAATAATAATTTACTGACATATAATGCAAGGCTACTGCTTCCTCCATATTTTCGTCCGCACGGCTAAACAACACACAAACGAATAATCGTCGCAGTCCGTTATATGAATCTTCGCCGCTAAATGTAGACAAGAACATCGTGTATGCCCGATACACGATGTTTTTCGCGCCAACACGACACGAATCTTCGCCCGCTAATGTAGCCCCACCATCAGAGTGCAAAGTGGGACGGAAGGTAGGTAGCCAGACCGGTGTTGCCAGTTCGATATTCATTTCATCAGTAAATGGGTTGCCAAAAATTCAGTAGATTTCAGTAGATATATATTTTATGCAAATTTTAGGAAAGGGTAATAAAAAAGACCTATGAACTCGAAAAAATATGTATTTTTTATAATTAAAGAAAATTTGTGTGCTTAACAAAATATAGGAATATGTACACAAAACAAAAATTTTAACTTATACCTAATTCTTAATTTAAAAAAACTTATCACAAAATAAAGTTACTTAGGATATACTCATTAGATACGAGTACATAAAAAACGGCAGTAAATAGTAAGAATAATAAACAACTACAAAAATACAAAACAAGTAAAAAAATGAAACGTAAGAAACTAGAGGTACTTATATAAAAAAATAGAATTTATTCGGAATCTGATAAAGTATTGTACTTTTATGGTTTATACATATCATTATTATGTAAATTTATTACTTCTTTTGTAAATGTAACGTTTGTACAATTTACTTTTCTAGACTTTAAATAATTGTTTGTGTGTAGATGTCCCACAATACTCGTAGTTGAAAGTTTATTTCTTTGATTAGTTTTCATTAGATTTACCGCAGAAAAAACTCTTTCTACATTTGCCGACGAATGTGGTAAAATTAACAAATTGAAAACAAATCTACTTAAAACAGGAAACATGGAAGTTCCGTCGCTGTAGCGCATACTTTCAATTTTTGACCAGAATGTTTCTACATCTACATCAGAACTGAAATTTAAATCCGTATTTCGAAGTAATCGCCATTCATTATCTACCAGTTGAAATTCATTCTCCGAAACCAAGTTTGGAAAACGTTTCATAAGTGGAATGATACTGTCCAAAATATTTTTCACGCCTAGTGAATCCATATTAATTATAATGGGGTCATTGAAGTCAAACCTTTGATTTATTTGGTTTGCGGCTTCTACATAAAACTCTAGGCATCTTTTCCTAAAAGTAGATTTGTCGGAGTCACCCAATGACTCAATTAAGACTCGAAGTTTGGCTCCTAAATACAATTTTTCTAAGGGAAGAAAATTATTAGGATCTTTGAAATCAATTTGATAAAGTGGGGACTGTATGAGTACTTCCCTTTTTACAAAACATTCTAAAAAAGATTTATACACAGTACTTATAGATTTGTATAAATCTTGGATAGCCGGTTTTTCACATTGCATCTGCCTATTAAGCGTGTTAAAAAAGGATAAAGAAAATTCTAAAAATTGAAAATACAATTTTGTGAATCGATCATTCAACTTTGTTAGTATATTTTCTGGTGTTAAAGTTCGATCAGTTACAGAGGCATCTGTAAAAAATAAAATTAAGGCATTATATTGCTCTAAAATTCTAGAGACTACAGCTTCTAAAGATAGCCATCTTGTCTGGGCCGGATGTAACATTTTATGTATTCGTGCTTGGGCAAAAGTTTTAAATTCTTTAAAAGTTTCGACCCTTTTTGGACTATTTGAGAAATAAGTATATATTTCACGGGCCAAATCTTCAATCCCCTAGGTAATTTTAAACAAGCATATGACGCACATAGATGAAAGCTGTGACAAATACACTTAACAACATAAAAATTTGGTATATCTACCTTTAACCTAGATACTACTTAATTGTGTTTTCCAACCATAACGTTTGCCCCATCAGGTGCATACGGTATTTTCTTCAGGCTAAAAAAGTTGGTAATTTCTTTATACAGATCTTCAGCTCTAACTTCTTTGATTGGCAGTAATGCAAGGAAAGTGTCTTGGATTCTAGAAGAAAAAAATATTTTTATAACTTAAAAATTTATATATATATATAATATCATATTATGAACTTACGTATTATTATGACGGTATCTACAAACAAGACACAAATGTTTTGTGCATGAACGGTCTGTGGATGCATCAATAATTAATGAAAATTTATTCCTAGTTAAAATTTCACAGATTTCCTCCTCATACCTCTTGCCAATAACATTCTTAATAACACAAGAGCATTTAGTCCGACTACATTTAATTTTCTTTGCTATTTCTGAATCAGGCGCCCGTTTAGTTATTACTGCAGGTAAATGCTCCATCACACTATATGACAAATTGTGCTCAGTGACAAAAGCTGCGAGATGCAACTCTGCCATTTTTAATATGGTTTCCTGATTTGGGCCTCCTTTAAAAACCGCTATATCTGTTAATGTTCCCTGCTTTTTCTGAGATTTGCATAGTTTAATGTGCATCGCACTATCCTGATGCCGAACTAGTGCTAATCTGCCAGTATTTTTAATAGAAATATGTTTATAGCACACGCGGCACATAGCAAAGTATTAATCTTTTCCCTGCTTGATCCACTTTTTAAATTGCTCCTCTTCGGTCCAGCTTTTCTTAAATACTTGATTATATTTAATTTTTTTTTCTTTGAGGGACCAGCCCCTTCATCTTCAGAGTTATGGTACTCACTTGAACTACAAACATAATACATTACATCTTTAGAATTCAATATTAACTAATAAAAGTGAACTTACCTCATTTTTGTACGTGCGCTTATACGAAAAGATAAAAAAATAAAGTATTCAACAAAACCACTAGCTACGAGATCGAACCGAATTGTGAAGGTGAAAACAAAGAAAAAACCAAAACCCTCGCGTTTTCGCGCAGAGCTGGGAAATCCCGGTCCCCGTAGTCGTTTACGCATTAATAACCGGTGATTCCCCTTGGCCGTGGTCTGGTCCAGTGATGTAGGAATACGGTCCGGGTTGCCAGGCCGCATAAAACCACTGCTGTTATGGATGATGCCATGATTCGTATTATTATTACGGATGATTCATCCATGGAAGATTCATCCGAATATTCTATTCATCCGTTTCCGTCTAACCGGTTAGCAAAATATTCCGAATATTTACATCAGTAGTATGGGCTGTAAAGTATTACCAACATAATATCAAGCGCTACGACGATTTCGAATTTATTTAGGGTTATCATTGATGAACGTATTTAAACTGATTCTTCGACAATATTACGCAAGGTGTAGGTTATGAATTAAAAATTAACAATAATAATAACATCAATTAGGCATCATAATTTTTTCAGTAGTTTACAAAAATGTTTCAGTAGATCAGTAGATCAATATAAAAATCAGTAGATCTACTGAAAATTCGGTAGAACTGACAACACTGAGTAAGACATTGAAGATGAGTTGCGCCGTTGCGCGGGGAGACGGGCGTGAGCTTCGGCAAAAGGAGCACGGATATCGTCGCTCAACTCGACGGACGTACGAACTGTGTTTTAACGCTATTTTATTTTTATTTTGAATTGTTCATTATCAGTTGTAAATCGGCCTCTACCTTAGTAAATAACGTGATATCGCAGTAGCACCGTATTCCTTCCCATTGACTGAGAGAGCTATCTCGGGAACTATTTCATTTCGGCAACCAACTCGTGGCCGGTGTTCTACACGTTGTTCACTATTCAGTGGAGCAGAGTGGTGAGCTTCGAGGCGGCGCCGGCGTGCAGCACCACGTGTGGCAGAGCTGCTACTACGAGGGAAATAGGATACGCTTGTGAGATCTATCCTTACTATTGTTGAGCAATCCACGTGGAACGAGGATTTTGCAATAAATCGACTTACTATATGTTGCTGACTAGCGGATTTAGCGTGGAAATCAAGTCACTTTTTCATACTTTGAAGAAAATCATAATCTGGAGTTGTGTGGAACATTTTCGCCGAAATTTCGCGGGACGATATACGTAGTCGTGCCATAAGTTCTGTCCCATGATAATCTCATGATAAAAATGAAACAAGATAAGATATATTTATATGAAAGATATTATTTATTCGACAACATTTTTAGAATTCATAATCAAACAGTTTTATTCAAAATGTCCCCCCTTGGCCTTCACACACTGCTTCAATCTCGCGGGCCACTCATCTATCACTGCACGCACAGCTTCCAAAGGAATAGCTGCCGCTGATCGGATCAAATCCGCTTTCAGGGACTCGATATTACGGTGGGCTTTGGAGCAGGCCAACTGCTCTAGCAGGTCCCACAACTTGTAGTCTAAAGGATTGAGGTCCGGACTCCCTGAGGGCCAATCTTCCGCAGCAATGAACTCTGGCACATTGCTTTCCAGCCAGCGCTGCGTACTCTTAGCCTTGTGTGCGGGGGCGGAATCCTGCTGGTAGACCCAGTGTTGGTTGGCAAACAATGTACCACTTAAAGGCTTGACGATAGGATCCAGTATGTCGCTCTGATAGTTTGCCGCTTTTGTTTTCACGCCCTGTTTACAGAAATGGAGCTGAGTGACCCCTTCGTAGGACACCCCCCACCAAACCATGACTGACGCAGGGTGGTGGCCTCTCTCAACTCTCGGAATGATCTCCGAAGCTTCCTGTGAACTCCTTGCATACACTTTGTCATTTTGTCGGTTGAATTTTTCTTCTATGGTGAAGATTTTCTCATCCGTGAACAAAATCTTTCGGAATCCCCCAGCTGCGTACCTCTCCAAGAGCTTCTTGGATCTTGTCGCCCTGATGTGTCGCAAGGTGGCCGTAAGTCGCTGGCCCGTACGTCTCCGGTAAGCCCCTAGCCCTAGGTCTTGTTTAATGATGCGCGACATCGTCCGGACAGGAATCTTCATTTCCCTGGATAGGATCTTCTGCTTCCGGAGTGGATTCCTTTGAATCCTGGCTTTTACGGCTTTGATGGCTGCTGGAGTCCTTACTTGACGAGGTCTTCCGCTTCTTGGCCTGTCATCAACAGAGGACGTCTCATTGTACCGCTGAATGGTCCTAGACACAAATTTACGCGATATTTGAAGGCCGCGTAAGAGTTCAAAAATCTGACTAGCACTGTGATTACACTTATGTAAAGCTATCACTGCAATACGGTTCTCTGCCTTGCCCCACTCCATCGTTATGCTTCGAGAGATCAATACAAACTGAGGTATATGTAATTACCCGAAAAGCGCTTAATCAACTGACACCACAATGTAAACAATCGGACAAGTATTAACAGGTCTACACTTGTTTGAAAACGAGGGACAGAACTTATGGCATGACTACGTATTTTCTCGTATATTTTAATATTTTCTTGTCATTCTGACTTACAACATATTTTTCTGTGTACTGATTCTGCATGGTTTAATGTATGTGTATGTATATGTATGATTGTAAAAGGGGGGTCAGACAAAAGATATGCTTGTATCAAGAGTAAATCCACAGTAACCCACAGGCTTATATAAAAAAGTTAAATAAATTGTTTTTGGATGTCCGGATAGCCACAAGGTCGGACTTGCTGTTTCTTGCTTGCGTGGTACAGCGGCGGACTGGGCAGCAATGAAAGAGGATGCCTGGCTACCAGAGGGACTGATTTTCCAATTTGAGTTATGGAAGGCACGAACGCGGTGGTCTTTCGGATTACTTCATGAACCTTGTTAATCAAGCCAGCTTTTTCTCGGAACGAATACCAGAAGAAAAACTAGCTAAGATGTTAAGTAAACATTTTTCCTCAGAAATTCAACGGGGTATAGTAACCATGGGTTTAAAAATAGTAGATGAGATAGAGGCGTATCTCAGAGATGTCGATGAGGGTCAGAATGAAGCGACTTTGGGGCGATACAGCAATGCTCGCGATAATCGTGATAGCGGGAACGCAAGGATGCGTCAGGAAAATGTTGCGCCTGGGCATGGCAACAGTGCGCGAGGTGTTGGCGGCGGGACGTATCGGCAAGATTGGGGATCGCACCCACCTGAACAATCTAGCGGTGTTGAAAATAGGGCGGGAGAAAACGTTGTTAGGAATATCCTGGCCATCAATGCTCCATTTTGGGATGATGCCAGCTCTCTACTAAGTAGTAATTCAGAGTCAGGAGAAGGTGTAGAGGAGCAGAAGTACAGATCTTCAGTTCTGCGATCTAGAGTTGGTCCGGTTGAAGCAGACATAGTTTTCGATAGCGGTAGCGAGGTTTTCCCGGTGTCCGACAAATTTTTAGAGAAAATAAAGTCGCAGGTAAAGATACCCGTGTTGCCTGTGTCAAGTTTAGCGATTTCTCCAGCTTTTAGTGCCAAGAAACAGCGCATAAAATTATAGATTCTGTTATCGGTTCGGATGTTGGCGGACTGTAACATTGATTTAGATGTCAAGTGTTTGGTAATTCCGGGACTTAACTGTGACATTCTTTTTGGCTGCGATTGGTTGTCGTCCGCCAAGGCAAGTGTCGATTTTGAAAATTTAAAAATTACTTTTTCCTGCAACCAAGAGGTTTGCACCATTCCTTTTTATAAAGAGCTGAGTACGGGGGGTGACTTAAATGTACAACTATGTGGTAGGTTAGACAATGTCGTGGAAGTAGATAAAAATGAGGAGTTAACGTTTCATAGATACTCTGAAGCAGAAATTAAAGTGGCAGCCGGCAGGGCTGAAACGGATGAAGCTTCGCGGAAGAAGCTAGAAAACTTACTTTTTAAATATGGGAAAGTGTTTTCTGAGCATCCAGGATGCGTCGAGTCTTATGCTCATAGAGTGGAAATGGAAGACGAATCTCCACTTAATGCACCTACGTACCCGATACCGTTCATTCATCGGAATGAAGTTGATAGACAAGTAAGAGAGATGGAGAGATGGCGGGTGATCAAAAAACAAGCTATATCCCCATTAGTGGTAATTAAGAAGCGAGATGGGTCACCGGGAATTTGCATAGATGCCAGACTTCTCAATTCTCGGATGAGGAAGGACTTCATCCTTCCTCCAGATCCCTCAGAGTTATTTCTAAATTTTAAGAAGGGCGTTGTGCTTAGCACAATCGACCTCTCGGCTTCTTATTGGCAGATAAGAATACATGAGAAGGACAGAAAGTATGTCGGTTTTACTCACGGAGGCGAGACCTAGGTGTTCCAAAGACTTCCTTTTGGGTTTTCCACATCAATGGCTTCCCTCATACGATGTTTGTGACAGGTTCTGGGAC